TTCAAAAAAGTCTAGTAGGTAATTATAAAAAAAAACACGTTTAATAATATTCAAGAAATACCATTTGTCGGATACGAAGATAAAGCAAAATAAGTCTGTTATTTACAATGGAAATCGATATTGAGGTGAAATCTAACTTGTATTTAGCAAGGTCTTGACCTTTCAACTTTTGCAGTCAATGCAAAGATCAATTGAATTAGACTATTAACCATTAATTATTAGGATGACTTATATTCTTACATTAAACATAACGATAGTATACAAAACGAATCAAAATTTTGATTTGCTGATTTATAAATTTATGCAAACGTTTGTATTGTTGTCATCTCCTGTCGTTTCCCCAAAAACTTATTTTAAGATTACTTTCAGATTATGTAACGGTAGATTGACGAAGTCGTTTATGATCATTTTAATGGTGATGGGTCAGTCAATATTCACTCGCCGAGGGAAATGTTTACAAAACTTTGCAACAATAACTGGCTGTCGCAATCCATTGTGCATTGTGTTCACGTCAATTTGTAAATAGTACTTTGTAAAACATAAATGTAAAATTATTTTAAAAAGATCCAGATCGTGGCGATGAATATAGCTCTAACCACGGGCTCTAACCTTCACTTAATTTTCTTCGCTGTTTTGTATGGCAACAGATTCGACGAAAATATTTAATAATAATTTATTTACTAATTTTTTTTCATTATTATTAATGAAAAATATTTATATTATTTATTTGAATAAAAACACAGAACAGAAAATTATTCGTTTCTAAATTAAGCGGAAAATACATTTAATTGTCTTCGAAGACTTTTCTTCGTAATAATTTACATTTATGGAGAAAATTTTTGCACTTACTTTAAATACTCGGTGCCGGAATTTGTTTTTGATATATCTGACATATTTCCCTATAGGCAGATACGTTAGTAATTTGTGTAGAAAACGAAATGATAAGAATGATTTGAATTTGCAAGCTCTAGTTCGCCAATCCCAATTTAAGTACCTTTTCCTATATATAAATGTAGTAATCCAATCATATTGATTGATTAGTATTTAGAAGTAGATAAACCTGAAAATCCAGCTAATAAATCTTTATTGTAGTAAGTGCATGTTTACACGTGCAACATAGGCTATTTCAGTAAGCCATTGTTGTGTGCATTCGTACGATGAAGTGGCACGTGTAGCTTAAAACTCCGATCAAGATTAAAACCGAAGTTTACTACTTCCAAATAATTTCTAAAAATTGTTAGTTTGAAAAACAAACATGAAGAAAACCAAACCAAAATATTCGTTATATTTTTTAAGCATTTAACTGCTAGATGTTTAAATCTAAATAAAAAACACACGAACAAGGCAGCAGACGGGACTCGAACCCTTCAGCATAATGGTCAGTGCATTCGCCCGGACAGCGAAGGGTGCGGGTTCGAAACGCGTCTGCTGCGTGGTCCGCGTAGTTTTTTTCTAGTAAAAAAAAAACTTAAAAACATGCTTACATTTATTCCTTTAGATTCTTACGTAATAAATATTAAACAAGGGGGAGGGGTTTACCAATTGTTATTTTTTTCTTTTATAAGGGGTAGGTGGTCAAAAAATGAAAGAATCTGAAATGCAAAATACAAAAAAGAAAATACCCTTTTCCATTTTGTATTTAAATACTTTTATGCTGAGATTTCTGATCCGATTTACGTATTTTTTTTGTCCCGTGCCGAATAGTTGCCATTTAGTCCGTGTTTAGTCCCATACAAATTGAATTCGGATTGGCGCAGTAGTTTTATTTTATGGTTTTTAATTATTCCGGTAATTATTCAGATACTTTATTTAGATGCACACCGATTACTCGAAGATTTCTCATTTGAATTGAGACAACCTTTTTTGTTTAATTGGAGATATTTGCCATTTGGTTACATAAAAAATAATTAATTTACACCCAGTTGTTTTTATTTGAGCACTTGTTCTTACTTAGACGATGTAATTTTTTACGACACTGTGGCTCTTTTTATTAGGGTTTGAAACGAAAATTATTTTTAAACATTAAATGAAACCAGGCATCGAAATGGAACTAAAAAGTAAAAAAATCACACTTAATTGGGCGGATCCTTGTATGATTTGGCAGTCGGGCTGGGCCAAGATTGAAACATGGAATAGATTTTCATTTCTAAAAGCGGTATACGTGTTTTAATCTCTGTACCCACCCGACTTCTAAATCATACTAGGACCTAGGACCCGCTCGTTTGCATGTGAACCGTTTTTTTTTTTGAAAAGTTAAGTCAATAGCAATACCAATTTGATGCGATTTTTTTTCTCACTCTAAAGGCGCGTCCGCTGCGCCATGTTTTGAACATAACATTGTTCGAAATCATAAATAAGGGGTGTGGCCTAAACGTTTTGAACACTTGAACGTGTTTGCCGGATTTTGTAGAAAACATCCCCCGCGGTCTGAATATACAAACAACCACCATCTCAGAGAAAAAAATATGTTTTGTCATTACACTATGAATGCTCCTACCGGGACTGGAGCCTTTGGCGCAGAAGACAAGCACGCTGACGTTTCAGTTTCGATTTTTAAAACTTGATAAGCTTGGTAATGGAATTTCTCCAAATGATACATATAATTGCTTATTTTCTAAAATAATGCAAGAAATTAATTATAACGAATAAAGACAGATTAGGGCGGCCCTCGAGCCCATGGGTTATTACGGTGCCCCTGTGTGGATAGGCGCCCTAGATGCCAGAAATACTGCCATCTTTAGACGTGCGCATCCCATAGTCGCAGTCACGGCCATCCGGGGCTACCGTACCATCTCAGGAGAAAGTGCATATGCGCTGGTTGCCATCCCTCCTTGGGAGCTCGAGGCGTGAATTTAACGATAGTGTACCACAAAAGGTCGGGGTTCCGCCTGCGTGGAAATAACACTACAGTCGAGGAGGTTGAGAGATCGCGTGAGGAGCCTAGGACTGAAATCCTGGATGCCTATTGGGCGTGAAGGTTAGAGACGTCTGGCTCCGGCTGCCGCAAAAATGAGGCAATTGCCCCAATTCTTAAAAATTGGGTTAGTAGAGGATTTGGGTCCTCCTTTCACCTTACTACCTTGCAAATATTAACCGGCCATGGATGCTTGGGCCGATATTTGTATAGAGTAGCTGGAAGGGAGGAAGAGTCCAACTGCCACGAATGTGGCAGTATTGAACTAACCACGCAACACAGGCTGGCAAGGTGTTCTGCATGGGTCGAACAGCGTGGCACCTTCATTAGAGAAGTAGGGACTGACTATCCCTGTCCAGTGTCGTTTGGGCTATGGTTTCAAGGCGGGAAGTCTGGACTGCCGTCGATCACTTTAGCGCGACGGTCATGGCGGCCTAGGAGGCCAATGAGTGAGGGACGGAGGATAACCCTCTCTCACCTGCGATGAGGCGCCGGGGGACAGGGCGGTGGCGCAAAACATTCGCGTAGACGTAGACCTAGTGGGGGTCTGCCGGTCACGGAGATGAGCCCGGGCACCGCTTAGTAGGTTTACGTGAGCCGGCGCTCTGCGCATGCTTGTGGACCGCTCAATTATGGCAAGGCGAAGTTCCTTGGGAGTTTAGTGGAGTATTCCCGGCTATCTCTTAAATCGGGCGAGTCCCACACTTCCCCGCTCGCCAGCCCAGTGCGCGGGGATGGTGCGTAAACGCCTGTTCCCCCGTTATATAAAAAAAGCTACAAGCACCTTAAAAACAACAAGGCACCTGGAGCTGGTGGCTTCCAGAATAAGTAGACTGAAGTAATTGCCGTTGGAGGAGACAAGTCCTTGAGTAGAGACCGCGTACCGGCAAGCCTGCAGAACGACCCCAGCAGCAGATGCTACAAGGCCCATGTTGATTTAATTAAAGACATGTTTTTTGAAAGATACATGATACTTTCGTATAAAAGTACATACATGGAGGCATAAATAAAAAAACATAAAGAAAACTAATTATAGTACGTTGCTTTCTATCGTGTGTATCTTTATAATCTCCCTACCCCCGCCATAAGCTGAAATGTTGACAATTTGTTTTACATACAAACGCGACTTGTTACAAGTTTATAGATAGCAGAGAATATATCTCGATATATACACAGAAGTATCTTTTATTTAACTTTTGATAACGTACAAATTACCTGACTACTGTTCTTATTTTGTATAAGTCGCGTTTACCATCTAACGTCTTGCAGTGTCATTTTAAAAAAAATATTCTCACAATAAATTCTGTTTAAAGAAATCGGAAGTAGACTGATAATACCGGAAGTAGTTAGTGTTGTTTTCTTTATAAATAATTCTTAAGTGAATAAAGATATAGTAACAGTTCATATTGCTAAAGGTAAAATTTCATTCAGAAACCAACACAAATGACTGGTTGCCGAAGAGTGCAGTAGTAAAATAGTGTATTCTTGCTATTGTTGCATACTCAAGTTTTTTTGCGACGAATATCATTATTTTTTCTATATGAATCAAATATTTAGAACTAGTTATATATGTCTATTTTAGTTTTATATGGAAACTAAAAATGCAATTTGTTAACGGGAACACACGGATGTCGGTAACTGGTCTGTCACCCAATCAAGCAGCTTCCTACTGCTCTTACTTTTTCGGTCTGATTGTTTCAGAAATGTTCAAAGAATAAAAAAAAAATGAAATTTACTTCTCATAAACCTTCATGCGTGTCAAGTATTTCCTTTGTTTTCACTTATTTACATGTTTAATTTTGTTACAGGGTTATAGAGTATACAGTTAATATTACGGTGCGTAACACCACAATTAGAGAGCAAAGTGGAGCAGAGTCCAATGTGGCCTCCGCAGCGAACAGTGGAAGAATTCGCAGCACCGTGAACCGTCAGCCACAGGGCATTTTTGATGCCATCGCCCCTGCTCGAGAAGATCGTCTACTCGGACTGTCACTTCGTTATTATTAAATTCCTCAACATCTTCTTCATTTTATAGTTTATAATATTTTTCTTTTTCCATTAATATATAAACAACCGAAAAAGGATCATGACCAAAATCCTTAAAGTAGTCGGTGCCTCCTGGCTCCAAACCAAGATCAGCTCTTACGTCCTGGGCATACTCGGAGTGCTGGCAATATTGGCGCTCTTTGTCGGACAAATAGAAAGGTTGGTTGCTTGTTGTTTCGGAAAGTAAATCTTATCATTACCTATGGTTTGACGCAGGTAGACTTACCTACATATTTGTATATTACGTTGGCGCACACCCAAAAATAATTCCATGTTTACTTTATAGATATCGTGGTTAAAATAACATGAGTGGCCTTGTTTTTGAGGTGTTCAAGTTTATTTTGTTGTTTATAGAATTCAAGAAGATGGCAATTATGCAGCAACAGTCTTTTATTCAGAGAAAACCGGATATCGCATAGAGTACTGGGGTCAAAGTAATGAATTAGCGGATATACCTAAGGGAGCTGCAAGAGCATATTTTAGAATGGACGTTGAAACAACTGGGTGAGTAATTTATTCGACAAAGTTATTGAAATTAAAATAAATTTGAATCTTAATTACTTAAAGTAGGCATGGCATACATTTGTCATATTCTGTAAAAAAAATGGAAATTCAAACTCATAATGTAGAAATTTCAGATCCTTAGTTAAGCAATAATATCTTTAACTAAAATACTACATTGATCATATCAAATGATGTATTAGATCTGGCCTCGCAGAACAGGACTAAGTTTGGCATGCCAAATTCTCTCTTGGCCACTTCGACAAATAAGAAGGATCAATAAAGGAGATAGTGTCTTTTATCGTATTAATGGAGGAAAACTGTAAACTGTTAAGGTCAAGCGTAAATTAGTTGCATTAATTCTGACGTATCCTGAATCTTTTTCACGTGCAAAAATCATCACGACATTATTATAATGATATCGGCTGTCTTGTTCTTATAAAGTTTCAATAATATTTTACGCAGTTGTTAAATACGAGATGTCCATAACTTTAACTACTTACCTTGACATAAGATCTGATTAGGATAGGCACAAGATGGACATGTTTAGCACTAGAATCACCCTCTTATATCCTTGCAAAATGGTGACGGTTTAGTTTTGCTATATAATGATGTTGTCCAATATTTATTTATTTATTTGTTGATGTCATTTAGATGGTCTTTGTTGGAAGTGGAAACAAATCCCTTGTTCCCTGATGAAATCCAAGCGTACGCGGCTGGCATAGTTGAGGGAGCGTTGACGTGGTCCCTCATTCATAATCACCTAGAGAACACGATAAGAGAACGCTGCGACGGCACGTCACTAGAGAAGCAATGCAACAAGCTGCGAGACGCTTTGGACAAGTCTGTGGATATTTGGAAATCTCACGCAGACGAACGTGGCAGCGTAGATCCGTTCTGGCATCAGGTTAGTATCATTCTTACTATTGCTTGTTGTTTCAGGTCGAAATTGTTGTCTGGATAAGTTTGTCAATGACTCTTCAAAGAATATCTGAAACTACCATAAAATATCAGTAAAAGTTAGCAATTGATGCATTTTCTGTTTCCAGCAAACTTAAAGAACACTTTTTCATTATTAAGACTCCCAGGGATTAAAACCTCACTTTTTTTAATTTCAGGTATCCTTGTATTATATCCAAATTAGTGGTATCTTTACTGGATGGAAACATGGCGTAGAGCGCAGTCAAAACGAGTATGATACCGATATATCAGATCTATATTGGCTAAACTCCGTCGGAGAGGTGACAGAAATTCAGCACAAGCTGAACATATCACTAGACGCTGACGTCATCGACGCTTTACCAGATCTCTCCAGTGGATTTTTGAGGATTGCTAATGAAACGGTCGAAGGATCTACTTTTAAGAAGATTTATCTTGCACAAAACAAAGCGGCCAGGTATAATAATTCTTCATTAAAATCAATGTAGTACCATTTGTATTTATTAAAAAAGGTATTAATTCAAATGTTATATTTTTTTTACAACAGTTACACTTCAATGACCCGTATCTTAAAACGCTACAAGCTAAACTATCATCAAACATCTAAAAATACCTCCGAATTGGTTCCTGGACTCACTGTAGATTTCTCAGGTTATCCTGGTTCAGTTACCAGTCAAGATGAATTCTACTTCGTGAAAGGAGATCACAGACTTGCAATATCAGGAATATCACTAAAGAATTACAATGATAAGCTTTGGAAAGAAGTTAACATAACTCATCAGGTAAGTGCACGCATCAATCGAAAACTATTTAGTTTCCTAATACTTGACTGAATTTATTTTATTTCCACATTTATTGTCATCGAGCTTACTCAGGTATTGTATATAAGTCTTATTAAAAACATAACTTCAATTTTCTTCAGGTCCCTCTGGGTCCTCGTGTACATGCTGCCAACCACTTGGCCCAAAACGTCAGTTCATGGGCTCACATTCTCGCTGGCAGTAACTCCGGTACTGGCAGCAAGCAGTGGCTGGTTGTTGACTTCGACATGTTGGACCAAGTGAATGAACCGCCTTTAGAAGAAAACCACTCCAGACACATCAACAATTACATTGTCACTGAAAGCACCATCACAAGGTAAATAAGTTACCGTGTATTTCTGTATTTAGTAAGCAACGGCTTAATAATTAAGTAAATTTTGAGCAGGCAAAATTGTTCAAGTTCTTCCTTGGCATAAGGCTTAATTTTGAGTTTTACGTAATTGAAGACATTCATTCATAACCTGAGATTAAGATATCGTTCCGTCCATTTCCGTATATACTTTTTATATGTCTCCAAGTAAACATTTATTTTCCTATTGGCAGGGATGTTAAACATACAGTTATCCATGCGAACAGTTCCATCAATCGCAGCAAAGGCCTAGCCTGGCTAGTTGAACAAGTACCTGGGCGTACGCACTCTGCCGACCTCTCCGAAGCATTGCTTGTGCAAGGCTACTGGGCTACATACGGATTGCCATTTTTTAATGTAAGTGTATTTTCTCAAACTTCATTAATTAACCTAACGGAAATCAGGACTGGTGCTACCACATCGATCTTATTTCCTCGTTCATACTATGTTCTAGGGTTCGTATACATAAAAGGGGTTTATATATGTATATACTTGAATGTAGTTACTTACAACTCTTTATTTAATTTACTCACACTGAAATGCAGTGGTTAAGTTTTGAAAAAATTATGCAATTTTTCTTATATCACTGATTTGATACTTTTATGGTCTGTCGTGATTTTATGAGTATTTGAAGTCACTAATCTTTTGTTTTAGGATATATCCGAAGACACCCAAATCCATCACATGGAAAAATTATATGGCAACGTGTTTTCTGAAGCAGAATCACCTAGAGCTGTTCTATTCAAAAGAGGGTTTAAAAATGCTACTTCGTTAGACAGTATAGTCAAGTTGATGCGGCAAAACAACGTAACAGCCATTAACCGTGCTAGTAATGAAACAGATTGCGATTCCGGTCTCTCTTGCATGATAGATGAAACAGGTTACTGGTCTGTACTTGGCGTTCGCGGCGATATGGTACACAAACACAAAGAGGCATACGGAATCATCGATACTAAAGTTATCAGCGGTAAGTTCAATTTCCAGAATTATAATTTTCCCGTGATGAAAGACAAAGTAAAACATGTGCACTAGCACTAGTTGTAATACTCACCTTTTTATTTTAAAAGGGTGGCAAACAAGCATGTGGCCCGCTTGATGGTAAGCGGCCACCATAGCCTATAGACGGTTGCCTTTCCAAAACGATCACTCGCGAGGTTGCCCTGACCTAATCACCTACCCCGTGAAGCCCTGGAACCTTACTCACCGACAGAAACATAACACTACCAGAGGGTAAAACCAGTAGTTGTCGATTTCCAAATACTTTTTTTTTGCCAAAGTGACCTTCACAGATGACCTGTCAGTATAGTTTCCGGACAACGTTTGAGGTCCAACCAAAAGCATATTAAGATGTGGACTCCTATATCAATTTCCCATATCCTAATATATATTGACAGTGAAAAGGCAAAATCACTTATACCACTTTGGTCGAAAACGAGTTATATATATTGTTACGTGTCGGGATGGGGTTCGAAATTCTCTGACTCTTTATATAACAATACAGGGAGAAAAAAACAGCCCTTGCTGAGTTTCTTGCCGGTTCTTCTCAGTACAAGGTCTCCCGCCGGAGTTTTGCGAACCGATGGCGTAGCTTCTTGACCTTCACAGGTGCTTTCAATTCAGGTTTGACAGTACTTTACTCATCACACAGTTAACACACAATGTTAATCACAACACTCACCCCCTCCCCCGTCCTGGTTGATGTGATCTGTCGATATTTGGATTGGATATTCCACTCACAATTCACATTCGCTAGGGTGGAAAATGTTCTGCAATGTATCTAAAAATATGTACCTAGGTGTATGTGCTCTCTGTTGAAGTCTTAGAAGGATAATAATAATTCTTGTGATAATTTATTAACTTGATATAATATTAATTTCAGGGATGACTAACCAAATGTCTACTGAATTCAATGCCCTTTCTGGTCCACCATACACAAAAATAAACACTACTAAATTCAACAAAGGAAATGTAGCACCAATTTATACGCACCAGTTCGACAATAAACCATCTATTGATGGTCTTGAAATAAGGGACCTAGTAAAACATCAGATTGAAGAAGCTCGACAAGAGGACTTGGAGTACCTCAATAGAGACGTTATTAAACCTTTCCAATGGTCTGAAAGCGAATATAAAGACAGAAAACGTCTGGGTCTTCCTGATAATTGGGCCTTTCAACCGATTATTCCAAAATGGTCATGGTGAACACTACATGTGCGAATCTCTTTCAGGCTTAGAATAATAATTTACATAGAACTAAACCTTGTTTTATACTGATACATATATACAAGGACGTATCATATATAGACAGGTTACACGCCAACATTATTGCAGTTTAAAAATTGGCACAAGTAGTCCCCGCCCCAACTTCCCTTGGCAACAGCCGCCAATAGAGCGCACCAAAGTAGTCTCATTCACTCTTATTAATAAAGCTGAATACATCTCGCTCTTAAGCCCCCACACGTCACGTGTTAACGGTGTCAACAACTGCCAATAATCAATCAGCAAAATTTCTAAATATTTTTACATTAATTTCTTTAAAATTTATAATTACGAATGAAGTGTCACGTTTTTCTTGTCTCTCATAGCTCCCGTGTATTTTGTGTACTATCTAAAAACACACATAGGGCTTTTGTCTGGAAAAACGTAAAATATTTACACGTTGTAAGTTTTGATCAAATTTTTAAACAGTTTTGAAGCTGATTTATTAACCATCTTTTTCATGTGATTTTAAAGTATATATTAGAGATCGTTGAACTTACTACTCTAAAGCGAGCCGATAGATGTGTCCCAAAGTGATGAAAAGTACTATCTATTCTTGGATAACTTCGAAAACAAGCCGAACAAAGTATGTTCTACTGTACTGTCTTATTTACACACGTTTGATTGAGCTTTACTTAGAACAGTATCGATGTAGCCAAACAGTTTCTATTTTATCATTCCTACTACGTAAATTATTATTCTATGCTTTCAGGCATATTTTTTTAAATCGTCCTTTATAATTTTAAGAATTTTAGTTCACGTATTTTATTTACACAGACAGACCTAAGTCAGACGTTAATAAAAATTTGAAATAGTTCTTGTGAATAACATGCTTATTTAAGTTTTATGTAAAGCTCCATGTACAACATTGACTACTGTGCATGTACCTACTTAGGTGTTTCCAATCCAATGATAGTTTTTTTTATTGTTTTTCTAATTAAGTAGGTATTCCATCGATCATGTATTGTCATAAACATATTTTAGGTTTTATTTTTATTTATTGTCTCTTTTTCAGCTAACTATTTATTTGTTTGTATATTTGTGTCGTAAATAAATCAATTGACATTATTTTTTTATTATTTTGTGAAGATTTAGGAAAATGAACTTATAATGATTTGTGTTTTATAGTTTACAATTATGTAATTAAAAGACTCATTGTTGTATTTTTGTGTGTAAGTACCTAATTCAATTTAATTTATATAAATTTTATACTTTTTTAGGTACTTTGTCGTACGTAATTTAAGTAATTTAATAATAATGAAGTGACCTAAATATGTGGTTTCGATTTTGCTCTCGAAAATAAAATGATTTGAACATAATTTTGCATTTTTTTTTAGTTACCTATTTATTTATTCATGGAATATAAACGGCATGTTAAAACAAAGGATAAAACGAAATGATACAAATCAAACACAATATACTTTATCCATTCCACTCACAAGGCTGTAGATTAATTTAAAACAAAATAAAAAGTACCTAGATTTTAACCAATGATAGCAGCTCATTGCTGTCTGTCTTGCCGAGAATTAAGTTGTGGAAAAATGTTAGGTCCGCAGCTTCTTTACGCTTGCATATTGGAAGATGGTGTCGTTGACAGTCAACAGTATATTTGGACTTGGACTTAACCTTTAAAGTTTAAGAAAACGTATCATTTTATTCAACTTACATCCTGGTTAATATACATTAATCCAGAGCCATTTCAAAATAGTCTAGCGGGTTAGACAATATTTTCGTTTAGTATGTATTATACCTGATATTTTGAATAAAGCTTAAATTAACAAATAAAAGCATTTTTTTTAAGTACCTAGTTATAGAAAAAAAAAATTATATTTCAACTATGCACTATGCACACACAAATAGGACATTTATCTTCTTCGCATCCTTTCGAACAATCGAAGAGATTGGAAATGAATTAGTTTGCAGTGGCGTACTAATAGGTGCAGAAGAAGCAAAAACGCATTTACAGTCTGTTCCACAACAAATCAATTGAAGATATATGATGTTTGCAAATCTTACTGGCAAGAATTCTTTTTCTTTAAGAATTAGTTTTGGGAATAGAATCTAGTACAGATCCCTCTGTATTTAAGCCAGAATTAAAATCCACGGTAATTACATTCGACACCTGGGGGCCACAGCACCCAGGGTCGTCTGTATCAAACATAAAATTTGAATTGAAATTAAAACTATTACTTACCAACTATAAGATGAATAATATGTGCACTAAATAGATATAATAATATGCACAACTTCAAACGCCTGAATCTCTCAATAATGTTGAATAAACTAAATCAAATTAATTACTACGACATCAGAAATATGTTTTTGTTGTAACATAACGTATTAGAATTTTCATTTTCTATCTCATTGATTATCAAAAAAAACATCTAACCTCCATGAGTTTTTCCAATAAATAATGCAGGTTATCCCGTATTTTTATATTGAATTAAATAGAATTACTATCAAAAAATTTCATAAAACTAATTTACTATCATTAAACTACTGAAATATGTATATTTTTATAATTAGTTCATTAATAATTATTTTTTAAGACTCTAAACAACCCCTTTAGGGCTCTTAAGAGCCCTTTTACAAAATTGCACCGCTGCCGTACTAATCGGCGCGTAGGTAGAAATGCACTAGTATATATTGCATTTTACGGGTGCTGTTTAGTCTTAAAAAATAATTATTAATGAACAAATTATAAAAATATATACATATTTCAGTAATTTAAGTATTTAATTAATTTAAGTATCATAAGGCCGTATACAGAAAGAAAGCCGAAAGCCGATCGGCGCTTATCGGCGCCTATTGGCGCTGATCCTTTTTCTATGGACCGGCGCCGACACGCGCTGGTCCGAATAATAAATAATTTGTATTTGAATTATTATCCTTAGATTAAATCAATCTAAGTTATAATCTTTTTATAAATCTAATAACTTTATCTTTTATTAACTAAGCGCTAAAATTATTTGTTTCGTACTTACCGAATGGTGACAACAAGTCTTTCTTCTGGAAGGATTGGTTGTTTATGCCAATTGCCCCAATTTTTCATCAAACGGTTTTTCACTAAATCCAAAATGTAATAAAATGTTTCTTGAATCATTCTTGTATATGTATAAAATCATTGTTCATCTTTAATTTTTTTTACAAATAAATGATGGTATTCTCCGAAACGTTTCCTTTCTCTATTTATAGGATGTACAGCTGTTTTTCGCATTTTTAAATAAACATTTTCTAACAAAACCAAATCATCGTCCGATGAGTCCGACATTTTGCTTGATCTGCTTTAATCGGTAGGGTGACCATATGTGGCAGGATCCTGCCTTTTCGGCAGGTTTAGCCATTTATTTTACTCTGTGACAGATTTGTTTGACGTTTTAGAAATCTGGCAGTATTTGGCAGTTTATAGCAATTTAAGTTTTTTTTATTTATTTAAATGAGTAGGGTGCGGATCGACAAAAGAAAAAACAGTACGAAGGAATTTTAAAATTTCGAGGATTTCCCATAACATCTCTAGTCGAATTTGTAGTTCATTCCATTGTAAACCATAAAGTGTGGAACATAATGTTTATATTACCTACCTTTATTTTTATTTGTCAGTTGTTTATGTAATTAGTCGGACTAGAAAAACTGTCGGAGACACAATTTTATTTTGTTTCTGATTGCGTGCGGTGTGTCGAATGGTTACCATAATACAATGAAACGTCAATATGAACAATTATATCGCGTAGTAGTATACAAAATTGTATAGTGGAATAACACTGAACAGTCCTGTGACAAAAACTAGGAACTTAGTATGCATAGCAGCGCCCTCCCGTTCTCCAGCGCGGCAAAAATTGGAACTACCTGTATTGATGGCAGCGCCAACTTGTCAATGTCATAAAAAGGACAGATCAGCGTTGGGATTATTTTGGCATTTTGTGCCTAAAATTTTGGCAGGATTTGTCAGTTTTTTTGCCTAAGCGGGGGGCAGGATCTCTAATTTAAGGTTGGTCACACAGTTAATCGGCTTCCTTTATGTAGGAAGGATCGGGAGCGCCGATCGGCTTTCGGCTTTCTTTCTGTATACGGCCTAAGCGTCTATAGGCTTTGGTGTCCGCTTACCATCAGGCGGGCCATATGCTTGTATGCTACACTTTTAACATGAAAAAGACAATAAAATTTTGATCGCCCATCCTTTAATCGGCCATTGTGAAATTTCATTATCTTCCATAATTGCAAACAGAACGCCTTAACCACTTGCGTTACCTGTATCGAACTTCTCCATAATTTACCACCGCTAATTTTGAGTTACATGAGAAACTTAAAAAATTTAAAAATAAAAAAAGTGCGTACAGTTTTTTTTTTCTCCTTTATAGCCTGCACGGTTTGTGCGTCAGCCACATACAAGTGTAAAGGTAGGGAAACAGGATAAAAAAGGAACGAAAATTTAGAAGGACAGGATCAGGTAAGTATTTACAGTTTAATATTGTGTTTCTGATAAAATTAGAAATACATAAATAAATATCATACTTCATACAATAAAGCAAAGTATTTACAGAAGTCGGGAGGTGAATACGAAGGGATGTTAAGGAGTCAATAAAAGAGGAACAGTCATATAAGGAGCACGCGAAAAAAATATGGTTTAAATCACCAACATCAGCGCCACAATTACACATACTGCTATTGACTATTCCTAATCTAGCCAGATGAGAAGGAGTGCAAACATGACCCAGTCTTATTCGAGTTACAATAGACGTCGTTTTCTTGCCAAATTTAAAATTATAAAACCAAGGCTTTGTAGGAATGAAAGTTTGAATTTGTGAGTAATGCTTTCCTTTGTTTTTATTAGAAACAGACCATATTTGTTCCCAGGATTCACGAAGATGCGAATTAGGAAGACCTAAAAGATCGTTAATGAAGTTTTTGTATGGAAAAATATAGCATCATTGGCAAGTTTATCCGCAATTTCATTGCCATAAATACCTACATGACTAGGTATCCAGGCAAAAACTACATCAAAACCTTTTAAATGACATTGCCAGAGAAATTTTCTACAATCTATAATAACAGGATGATTGGTATATTTAAAAGGAAATTTTTGTAGTGCTTGAAGCGCACTTTTAGAGTCAGAAAATATAACAGATTTTTGCAATTTCATAAGATTAATATATTCTAAAGCTTTAAATAATCCGTAACATTCGCCAGTAAAAACAGAACTTTCAGGTGGTAATTTAATTTTTTGGACAATTTTTGATTGTTGATGATAAACTCCAACACCAACGTGGCCTGAGGAAGAGTTTTTAGATGCATCGCTATAAATGTAATGTCGATCTGGCCAGTCTCTATCTATGATTCAAATCAACATTTGCAGAATAAATGGATCGCGATATATCTAAAGTAAAATAAATTTTAGGAACAAGAGTTAAAGCGTCATAGTCTGCAGAAAAAATAGAGAAACGCTGGGAGATGTGAGTAGGGGAATGCAAAGAGGAAAATTTACGAAAACTTACGACTAAACAAGGTAGTGGTAGTGACTTAAGCCTCCAGTAAGAAGATGATGATACTATGAGTGAAAGAGTAGATAATTTGGAATGAAGGGGATGCTTAGCAAATTGCAAAGCACGGAACAGAAACTTGTCAGAAAGATATTGACGCCGGAGTCGTAGAGGAGGGTCCACACATTCAACTTGTAAAGCATTGATAGGGCTAGATTTCATTGCAGCGGCTATTAAGCGAAGAGCTTTAGACTGTATCCCATCTAGCTTTTTAAGCCCAACAGCATTGCATGGCTCAAGAAAGTAACTTCCATAGTCTAAAATACTTCGTAAAAGAGCGTTGTAAAGAAGTTTCAAAGTATATGGGTGTCCACCCCACCAAACACCGGTTAAGCATCTCATGATATTTAAAACTCGTTCACATCGAGCTGTAACGTAATAACAGTGAGATAAATCTGATAATTTTGCATCTAAAATAACTCCTAAGAATTTTATTTCGTTTTGTACCGGGATAGGTTTATTATCAAAACATACGGAAACAGAAGGGGGTATACGCATTCTAGAAAATAACACTACGCAGCTTTTTGAAACGAAGAGATTAAGAGCGTTAGAGTCTAGCCAAATTTTAAGGTTGGACAGTGCTCTACTTAAAATATCACTTATTTCTAAAATAGATCGTCCCGAAACATATAAAACCAAATCGTCTGCATATTGTAATACCGATACACTGTTACAATCACTATTTGAAATTTTAAAAGCTTTATCTAGGTCATATGTATAAATATTATATAAGATAGGGCTTTTAACACATCCCTGGGGTAAACCCTTCCATAAAGTTCTATATTTATAGTTTGAATCGCCCGTATCAATTGTAATCACTCTACCAGACAAGTAATTAATGATAAAATTAGTGATCAAAAAAGGAACCTTAAGTTTTAGGAGTTTTAGCTTTAATACGTGAAGATCAACGATAACGTTACGATAGGCAGCATTAATATCTAAGAAAGCTGCAAGTGTTGATTCATTGTTACTAAAGGATAATCTTATATCGGTAGTAAATATACCAAGACTATCCATAGTGCTTCGTCTCTTTCTAAAACCGTATTGATTCGGAGCAAGAAATTCATTAGATTCAATAAACCATTCTAATCGATTTTTTATTAGATGCTCGGTTAATTTAGCAAGAACGGATGAGAGGGCTATTGTTCTGTATGAATTCGCATCAGAAGGAGGCTTATTTGGTTTTAATATTGGAATTACTTCTTGTAATTTCCACGAAGTAGGAATATTACCAGAAATCATAATGGAATTAATTAATCTTAAAAAATAAAGAAGGCTAGATTCGCTTAAATGAGATAGAAAGGAATATGGTATACCGTCAGTTCCTGGGGCAGAATCTTTAATGTATGATAAAATACCTTTGAGCTCTGCAAGGCTAAAAGGGAAATCGAGATTGGTTAAGTTGTTGCTAATAATTATCGGGGAAAGAGTATTAGAGATAAAGAAATTGGGAACTAGTGGAGGAGCAAGTTTATCTAAAAAGTTGTCTGCTACATCCTTTGGAAGAAAAGCTGCACCAGGTTCCTTAAAAGCTGATCGAAACCGGCGTATATTTTGCCAAACTACAAAGGGTGAGACGTCAGGTGATAAAGATGTACAAAAGGTCTTCCAGCCTTCCCATTTCTTTTTTTTAAGAAGCTTCTTTGTTTCGTTCATTACACAAGATAATAAATGAAAGTTTTCGTTCGTAGAATTTTCTCTATATAATTTTTCTGTAAGCTTTCTTTTTTTAACTGCTAAAGAACACTCGTTATCCCACCAAGGGGGAGATGGAATCTTGTTACGATTATTATTTTTGACTGGGAACACCTTTTCTGCAGCTTGCAACAAAGTCAATGCAAAGGCTTCTGCACAAACTTCATGATTGTTTTGTTCGATGGACGGGAGGTTAGAAATAACCTGTTCTACTTCTTGTTTGTACAAAATCCAATTAGCATTTTCAAGTTTAAATTTCATTCTAGGAGAGCGATTATAAGTACGAGATGATGATGTTAAAGGAAAATTTATTAATATTGGAAAATGATCAATTTGGTTTTAAGGGGTCGTCCATTATTCACCTGATCTTTTTTTAGCAATTTTTAGTCCCATCTTCCCCTCTGGTTATAATATGTGGCGAGGGCTTGCGTTTAGGACACTGTCGTTTTAATGCTCATCTTCACAGGTTGAACTTAATCTCGTCTTCTGATTGTAATTATTGTCGTCTACCATTAGCCAAACTCTTCATCACCTGTTTTTTGATTGTAATGCCTTTTCGTTGCAAATAATGATTTTTATAGATCAACTCTTAGATATTTATAAAATATCTGCAAATATCCCGCACTCTCTACCTCAGCTCTTATCAAACAAGAGTTGTTTTAAAACTATTTACCAGTTTATCAATACGACTATTAATGATAGGATATACTGTACTTCCAGGGCCCAAAAGTAAAAACTTCACAGTTTTGTTGGTTGTAATTTCGCATTTTTGTTGTTAAAAAGGTTTCTGTTAACCACATTATTAAAAAAAATGTCACACTTATGCACTGGTAGTTTTTTAGAAAAAAATATTGAAATTTTTTACTTCACACTAGGTTAGGTTAGGTTAGTGTTGTGACCATAACGCGCGAGCCGAGCGAGCAAAGCTCGCGTGCCGCGGCAGCGGCCGGCGAAGCGCCAGAAAAAAAAATCTGTTAAAAAGACCTTTTCTACAAAAAAAAGCAAGTATCACCTTTTGGGCTCTGGAAGTACAGTTTTACCAATATTACAACATTTACAACAAAATATTCTTGACATTTCTACCAATGACAATGACTTAACTTGACTTATACACAAACGACTTGGCTTCGGCCTTACTGAAAAAACACAAAAGAAGACAATATTAAAAAAAAAGAAAAACGCTAAGAAAGGAGTAGAAGTACTTAGAAGACAAGATACCTAAAATAAGACTTAGCTTCGGCTGCAAGAAAGAAGAAGCTTCTATTACTGCATATATATTATCTACAGCATGTATTATTCTGAAATATAAAACTTAAGAATTGGCTGTATGGGCACAGTACCCTTTGCCTTCTCAGAATGAGAAAAGGAAAAAAAATGTGTTGCTAATGTTGGATTATGTGTCAATGTCAATTGATGAATCATTTTTTAAACATACGTTTATAATTTGTGAAATTTACTATACATACAAACAAAACATTTTTATCGAATGGTAATATTATAAAGAAACAATAAGTACGTAACTAAAATAATGAATTTCTTTAGAAAGGAACCTACTGTCAAAGGTGAGAATCTTCTAATATGTTAACTAATATTTTACATAATAAGGTTTCAAAGTTAATGCTATATCGTAAAAGAGGATGAGAATTATGTTAATACCTAGTCATAATAATGTTTTAATGCAGAACAACAAAGACAAAATGAGAGAGAACTTAGAAAAGCTGCTAGAGACTTGGACAGAGATAAGAACGCCCTTGTTAGAGAAGAGAAAAAATTAGTAAGTTATTTTAATAGTTTTTCAACAAATATTTTTCACAGACAATATTTTCCTTTAAGTAGATAAATTATCTGAAATGAATTTGCTCAGACATCTTGATTCAATAACTTGTTAATCAGTTTTGCTTTTACAGGAAATGGAAATAAAAAAAATGGCGAAAGAAGGTAATAATGAAGGTTGCAAAATATTAGCCAAAGAACTGGTCCAGATGAGAAAACAAAAGAATAGGATATTTAATGCTAACAGTAAGGCAAGTATATTGAATGATAAAGATTATTATTTATAGCCACACTCAGAGATACAGCTAACTTTTGATCAAAGTTGATGATGAATAAAACACTTAATTTTAATACAGCCATACAAATATTAAAACCTATAAAAACCATGTGACCATGGCTTTGTGAATTATGTCTACATCCATTCATGTCACAAGACCTTTGAATTTAAGGCTAAACTGCACTTTATTTGCCCATGAGTCGACACTGCAACACTCGGGCCCGTTTAAATAGATTGCTCTCAACTCTGAGACTACAATCTTTTCATACAAAACAACAACTCAAGATCACTCTCAGAGTTGCGAATGCTGGCCTAAGTTAGGTTAGTGTGATTATAATGCAAGATCAGCAGCTGGTGAATTGCTAGAAAAAGGGATATATTTAAATGACTCTTAGAAATATAGTTGATGATCACCTAAAAAGAACAGTTAAAATATAAGTAAGTGTCACCTTCTGGGCACTAAAATTTTACACTTAATTTTTCCGATTTAATATTGGTTATAATAGTGCCATAAACCTAAACACCGAGTCTTGACTGATGGGGATATATTATGCTTAAATCAAACGAATGCTAACCAAATATCCCAGGTGGATTATATTTATATTCATATTCTTAATTGGATCCCATTCTTTAAATTGTGTTCTTTCATGTAATGAATTCCAGATATCAAATGTTCAGCTACACAACAAAACAATGGGTGCTAATATAGCTATTGCTGGAGCTATGGGAACAACGGCTAAAACAATGGGTAGCATGAACAAAGTTATGAACCCACAACAAATAGCAAAAGACATGGAGGCATTTAGGCAAGCAAGTGCAAAGATGGATATGACAGATGATATGAGTAAGTTTATTTATATAAAATAAGAATAATTGCTGTTAGCAACACCTTTATTAATAAATGGTGTGGTTGTTAAGAAACTGATATTAAGAATAGGGTCATGATCAAATTTTTTTTTATTTACAAATTTACTGCAAATAAATTATGTTTCCTGCATCATTTTTAGCATTTTGGGTTATTTTTGAGGATCATTTAAATATTATCTTTTAAATATGTACGATGTTAGAGGATATGCACATGGTTTCTGCACATGGTCCTTAAGTGGACCATTGTACATGAGCCATAGCAGCTGATTACTCCAGCCTACCTCCCTCCAGAAGCAGATCAGTCTTCCCACTATTGTCGTCTTTAAACTATTTTCACTATACTCGATTCATCATGAAAATAATGGTTTACAAATTAGAAAAACTACAGCTAATAATTTATGTACTATCAGCCAATTTGATTTCCAACCCTCATATAAAGGCCTATTTTCTTACAGCGATTGCAAAACAATAAGACAAATATTTACTTAAATATATATAACCCTGGAAACGAAATTGTTTTTTTCAGAATAATCATATTTGACGTGACAGATTTTGTTGCCTCTCAGTGACATAATGTTGACATTTCATTGATTGGAGTTTTGATCATAGGTTTAGAATTTCCTTATTAATCTATCAAAGTTTTTCTGAATGCCAAGAAATTGCAAGAGCTCAGTTATATTATAAGATTTTGAAAGTTATTTCGATATTCAAAGTACTGTTGCGTGTCAGGATGGGGTTTGAAATTATATGCCAGTTCACGCTTGACAGTACTATTCACCACACAGCTTACACAGTTTTAAATTTTGTTTATTTATTATATTACAGCGATCTGCCTCTTGATGGGACAATAAGCAGTATGAAAGACTAATGATAAATAGGACTTGATTAGGATCCACCCCTAATCAAGTCCTATTTATCATATATATATACCTTTGTTGCAACCTGCTGCCGTGTAATATGTGAGGTGCTCAATGGTCACCATATTGCATCTTGGGGAATTTTTCTTCTCAATCTGTGTACAGAGGGTGTGTCATCCATCAATCCTTACGCCCGTATATTTGGGTGGTTCATAATCCTGTTCATATAAAATTTGGTGTATGTGACTATTTCCTCTCTAACAGTTGGCAACTTTAGATCTCTATGCAGCTGTTCATTAGGTATGAACTATGCGGCGTTTGTTATCATGCGCAGCTTCTTGCTTTGGAATCTTTGCATGATTTAAAGGTTAGAGTTTTAACTTCTAAATCTTTGAACTCTTCCCCCATTGCTCAATCAAAATCCCCCATCAATCTTAACAGAAAAAGTGAAACCTTGTACTAGTCATTTTCTTTTTAAACATGTTGATTTTAAACATGTTATAAAAACGTTTAACCAATTAAATAAAAAGAAAACCGCGGATCTGTGAAACATAAGTCGATTTATTCCAGAGGGTGGCAGCCTAAAAATGCGAGTGGCGAACGATTCCGCTTTCTCAGCAACAGTTAGAGGCCAGGTGCCTTCGAGTGTTTGTAATTAGCTAGATGGTTACCATCGCAAATAATACATTTGACTTTGTCGGAGCGTTCTTTTCTACGGCAATCGATCTTGTGGTGCGGTGCACAATTTACACAATTTGATTGTCTATTACAATTTTTTTGGTATGGCCATACTGTTGGCGATTTCCGCACTGTGGAATTTCACGTTTGAGTCTCGGCGCTTCAAATGTGACTCTGCAATTGAGAAGGCTTTAAAGTTGTAGATTTCCTTGTTATTTCTTTGCTGCTCAAAGTCAATATAGAACATGTTAAGTGGCTGTTTCGTTAACCCTGTGTTCGATGTTCCAAATGCTTCAAACTCTTGTGTTGTAGTCCTACTAATGCCGTTTTTATTTCATTCTGGTCAGTTGAGGGATGGATATTTTCAGGACAACTAGCTCTAAAGCTACTTTTTGATTTAGGTCGATAGATGAAAAATTCTGTGTTCCTTTTTTTCAACTCCTTGTAAACATCTGAGAATGCTTCAGCTGATTTAAGTTGTAGTTTGATTTGTGCTGATTGCAATATCTTAATTTTAAAATCAACTTGCGTCACTTCAGTTAACATTTTGGTTAGAGGCTTAATGTTACTAACTTTTCAATAAATATTGGTGGCGGTTCTTGAGGTTTGGGAACTAATGTTTCAGCTCTGGGTCATTCCGAAACTCGGAAAAACTGTTTGATCTTGGGCTGGGTGCTTTGCAAGCCAGTAGTTAAATTTGTCTGTTTTGGCATCTTTGCGATTGCATCCGGGCTGGCTCTTTGCCGTTTTCTGCTTTGATTCTGGATCAGAGTCCAGTCCTGCTTTTGAGTTTGGTTCAGGTATTTGGTAGTAGGCTTCTGATGGAATAAGACATAGGCCGGCTTATAAATAGATCTTTATGGAGTAGCTGTTGGTGTAAAATCTTCCTTTGGTGTGTACTAGTGTTCGTCATACTTATTTCATTCAGGCGAAATTTGTCGTCGTCCCCCCTCCCCCAGATACTATGGGACAGCCTGGGTTCAGCTGCTGGGAGCAGCCATGCATAGAGAGGAATTCTCCGCTATCAGCGGTACCCTCCTGGGATAGTTCCGTATTTAATTTTGTCATTCATAAAGGAGATTGCTCAGCTTCCATACATGTTTGGCCTATAGACCAATAATCATGAAAAATTGTTTCCTAGATTCGCAATTATATATAAATTACTATAGAAACGAATATTATTGACGGATACCCCTGAGAACTTCTATAAACCATACACACTGAACATATTAAAATAATAAAAAACAAATAAGTTATATAGTAAACTAGGGAAATCAAGCCAAGCACCGAAATTATGGATTAGATTCAGGTATATAGAGCATGTAGATTAACAGATAGTTGCCTGTTTTTAAAGTTAATGCATAAGAGTAACTTTTAAAATCAGGTGTCATCTATGCATTTCCGGTTATAATAAGGTACTCTGTGACAGAAACTGTGTGATGATTGTGAATGAACCACAGATTAGAAAGAATTTTTAAACTCTCGTTAACCAAAGAAAGCTAAGAGATTTAGGTTATATAGCCATATATTCAGTAGCTTCATTATTTCTGTTATGTTTTTAATATAACCATATTTTAGATTTTTAGTGTATCACACCTTATAATTTTATTTATTTATAGTCAGGCAACGTGGGCCCATAGATAGATACCTTAAAGTCTAAACATAATATAATGTGTTTATGGAGGCGTTTGGCGAAAAATGTATGGCAATAGACTTTTTGATGTCGCCTACCATCTATAATTATTGTCTGAGCACATTTGCATGTAGTGAAAATGATAATATAGTTGTTGATATTAATACCACAGTGCAATAAAAAAATGATTTATTTTATCGATCTTTACAAAATAGATTTGTTTTTATGTTATATAAACAACTTCGATTAGTCTTTGGCTGAATGTTACTACACCCATAGCCATCAAAAATGATTCGTATGTTTTCCAAACTGGTAAAATGAAAAGTCTTTTTTAAAGTGAATATATTATACAAAGGTGTCCGTTGAAATCTAATGACTGTAAATTAAATTATATATTACGCCAAGAATTACCGTGTATGTCAATATTTTTTGTGCATTTGGGCCAATTTGAGCAATCTCCTTTTTGGTGAATAAAAATAGTGACAAATATCACCCCCTGGATTTGTCCCCGTTCTTTTTAAAGGTATTTAGTCCTCAAGGCTCACGGTAGCCTAGTAGGGTTAATTTACCGCCGGCACCGCCCTGGCACGGCGTTGACATTCTTTACGGCCTTGCTTGATATACCAAGATTAGTAGGTAAATTTATTAAACGTCTTTCTGGGCCTACCCTCCTCTTCCGGGCTTGGGACTGGCATTGGCAGAATTATTTTTGGGCCAGTTGTTATGTGTCAGGATGGGGTTCGAAATTATATGCCATTTCACGCTTGACAGTACTTTCACCTTCTCTCCCTTCACCACACAGTTCACACAGTGTACATACAACGTTAATCACAATACACTCAATAAACACTGAACTTCACTATGTCTTTAAACAATCGCACTAGAACACTTTACTAGCACTTTGATCGCCTTTGTATTCATTCCGAAATCGCTGTTGAAAAATAACTGTTATCGCTTTGATACTTAACTATCTGCAGCGCGGCGCCAATCGCGCTTATATACGCCAATCGACGCATTCTAAAAAGTCCCGTTAAATTGACAGTTAACTAGTAGCTGCGAGTGCGTAGTACCTACTTATACGTAGGTAAAGCGCATAAGTTGTAAAGAAGTGTAGATTTCGTTGCACTTTCTCTAGGCTGCACTGCATAAGACTCATATTAGAATGAGCGACCCGCGGTGTTCTGGTTAAATGTCTCCAGTATTTTCGCGTTTATGTTTCGAGAGCGTGTGTGACAGTACTATTCAGATTCTATCTAAAAGATGATTTGCATACTACTTTGAAAACGAAGGTCAACTATTAAAGATCTTTGATCCACATTAATACAGTTTCTTTGTTATTAGAAGGTCCTAAGTGCAATTATGCATGCTTCAAAGAAGAAAACTTGTCTGTTTTGACATTTTTGAATAACGGGCAAATGGGTCAGAAATTAATTTGTTCTATAGTACATTGTAAAATCATATCATAGTGGCTCTCATGTGCAAAAATAATAGTAAATATAAACTTGAACTTCTCTCCAAACCCACGTACTTATAAAACGTTAATTCTTATATATAAACAAAATTATACCCTAAAATTTAAAAATACTAAGGAATTTAGTTTTTATTTACTGAAGTTATTTAACTGTGACAAAGTCTCTGAACAATAAATATTCTTCAATAAGTTGTTTAGATACAGTTGGAAATAAATAATTACATTTTATTGTTATAGTTGCAGATACACTAGATGACATCATGGACGAGTCAGGCGATGAACAAGAGACCGAGGGCATTGTGAATCAAGTGCTTGATGAGATCGGCATCGAGATCAGTGGAAAGGTAAAGCTTACACAGGGTCTTAATTATAGTCTGATTTTGAATTTGTTAGCATTCTGACAGCTGTAATTTTTTGTCACTTATGATAATATCGGGGGGCACGGTAGTGCCCGCGCCAAGTCGAGCGCGAAGCAAACACTGCCGTACCATCCTTTACTGGAACCATTTCGCCGCATTTTCAGGCCCCTATTTGAGAACCTCTGGATAAGACCAGAACGCTGAAATTTTCGTCATCCAGTAAGCTATAATAACATACTTAAAATCCAAAATTTCAAGTCTGTAAGTCATTTAGTTCCGAAGTTAAGCGAAAGCAAAGTTTCGCATTTACGACACTCACTCACTCATGATCACCAGAATAGAACTAGTACTTCCCATAAACTCAGAGGCACCTCCATATTCTCTTGTGGCCAAGCCTATGTGGCGCTTTCACGAGTAACTAATCTTAATGGGGTGCACCTCATAAATGTTGACTTCAAGAGTATAAAAGCTCAAGCTTCAGCTATCACCGAATACAACCGGCTTAGGCGTAAATACCGCGCCGGTCTTTCAGAAATTAAAGTCTTAAAGAATAAGTAAAGAACGTGAATGGGCAATACGAAAAACTGCTAATGTTCAAGAATCAGAACCAGAAAAAAAGAAAAGAAAGATTGATAGATAGATAGATTAACACTTTATTATAACACCAAATACATAATTACATTCACAAACAATAATATTAACAAAAGCGTTATAATTGGCGGTCTTATCGCTAAATTTCTTCCAGACAACCACTGAGTATGAAAAGTTATACAGAGACCATAGGGGTGTTAAATGGCTTGGAATAAATAGTCACATCCATACATACAATCTACATCAAATTAAGTATCCTAATTAGACATATAAATATATATACATACATACACATATATACATATACATAAAAAATATTTGTAATAATAAAAAGACTACTCCTAAAAAAATGTGTCAAATAAGAAAACCTAATAAAATAAATCAATATGATCACGTTTCTACAAAAAGAAGTGAAATCCCACCAAAAACATTCTGTAAAAACTAGCCAAGTCTCGATGGAGCTGCTTGTTTATCTCTAAAAAGTAATGAAATCTAGAAAAAGTCGTACCAAGTCTAAGGTCGTACCAAGTCCTTACTGCGATTTCTTTATTATTATAGTTAATGTTGTGTGACTTGGCCGTTGAAGGGTACACAAGGGAGCACCGATGCATTCATACATGCAACATTACGTGTAAACGCAACTTTATCAAGCCTATAATTGACTGGTTATTCAATCAACGTTTTCCAAGTGGCAATTTTCCATCGTCAATGGGTAGCGGTTCTGGCGACAGATTGGTGCAATGGTGTCATGTAGCACCTGGTTTTATAGCCTTGTATTATGTTTTTTGGAATTTTAACCAATATTGCAAGTAGTAGTAAGAAGTAGCTGATTCAAACAAATGAATAAAACGAAAATATAGGTAAATGTTTTCGTACGCTCAATATGCGATCAAGCGATCATGCAGCGGTCGTATTAACTTTATATTTTTATAGCAAATTTTCAAAAAAATATTTGTTGATTAAGTAAACTTTAAGTATAATTTAATTTGTATTATGTTGATGTAACAGTTTTTTTTATTTTAATCAAATATCACGTGATCAGTCTTTCCGGCTATGAGCAGATGAGTAACGTGAGTAATATCCGTGAGGAGATATTCCCCATTGGGAACATCTTCCATATTCATGGTCTTTCTTATTCGGTGCCGCCGAGATCCAGGGTTCTGCGCTGTTTTACGCGATTTACAGTCAGGAATTCTGAGCTGAGCTGCCAACAAGTTAGGATAGTTTTTCAGTATTGTTTTGTATTTCCTTGCTAATGCCTTAATTTTATCATTTACTTTTGGCCATGCTTATGCATTCATGTACTTCACTGATCCTAATGAATCAGGGTGCATTGTTAATTTGCTTAAGGATATAGTTCTGAGGTCTCTGGCTATGTTGGCATCGCAGCAGGCTCCCCATAACTGAACCCCATATGTCCAGACTGGTTTTATGACAGCTTTGTAAATTAGGAGCTTGTTGTCCAGTGACAGCTTTGAAATTCTTCCCAGGAGCCAGTGAAGGCCCTATATTTAAGATTGACCTCCTTCAGTTTCCTCCATGTGAACTTACGGTCCAAGTGCAGCCTGAGGTATTTGACGGTATTGCGTTGAGGTAGTTGCTTTCCACCGAAGTTAACAGGAGGACAAGTTTCTCTTCGTAGGGTGAAAGTGACCTGCACTGACTTTAATGCGCCATTTATCAAATCAGTTGCTTATTTCATTGAAGCTTTGTTGGAGCTTTGCCATGGCATCTGCAGGGTCTTTAATAGATGCTAATATTGAAGTGTAGTCTACATTGGTAGCAGTGGCAGGTCAGAAGTGTATATGGTGTACAAAACTGGGCCGAGAACTGAGCCTTGTGAACACCTGATGAGCTGTTGTCTTCTTTGACTTGAAATCACGGGGCTTATCCCCTGAGTGCGGGTTTGCCCCTTGCGACTCCACTCTGGCCGGCCGGTTAAGGCGACTATATATGTGTGTGTGTATGCGTATGTGTGCATTGTCCCACTAGAGGTAGGGTACGTGGTGTCGCCACAAGTTGCCCTATCATTATATAATTTTTATTCCACAGATGGCGGATGCTCCATCAGTAGCTCGCAACAAAATTGGAGCTTCCACAACGGACGAAGACAAAGAAATCATGGCGCAGCTCGCTAAACTTAAGTCAACCTAGATTATATTTTGTATCAATATAGATATTTCGCAGTGTGTATATATTGACTGTTAAATACTAATCCGACAATAAAAAGAACCGACAAGTCTGTAATAAAATATACGAAATACATTTTTTTGCTTAGCGATTGTCACACGTTTTTAAACGTGTTGTAAAAGTAACTATTTACTACATACATTATATAGGAACAGTCAGATACTTTAATTTGGGGTCCATGTTATTGAAATATGGTTTGAACATTCTTTTTGCAATTAGGCCTAAATCTCAAGACGAATATAACGTTAAAATCTAAAGTCAAAATCAACCTTTCTAAATACTAACCTTCTCTCGACGTGTATTACTTCGTTTTTGTATTTTTTTTTAAATATGAACATTATATCAGTTTGACACATTTAAGAAAATGTAATCAATCACCATTACTTCTGAAATCCTTCAGTCAAGCTAAGTAAATCATTGATGGTTACTTTAAGAGGGGAGGTATACTTTTTTTTTGTTTTTTTACTTTCATCTTGTCTGTTTTGTATTTATAGAAATACTATGTATATTAAAATACTATATCGTTAACGATCACCACATGAGGTGAGACAGGGATAGACTACAAACCTATATAAAAACGCACATACAAACATATAGTGCATAAATCGTGAAAACATCGATTATTTTTTGGCAGTTCTGTAATTATATCCTATTTATATTTACAGTTTCCTTTTTTACATATTATGAATATACACGGAGGTCGTCAATATTTATAGAGATTTAGTATATTGACGACCTCCGTGGCCGAGTGGTTTATACGCCAGGTTTCATGGTGTCGCCGACTCGAGAGGTCCCGGGTTCGACTCCGAGAATACGAGCATATGTACTCCAGTCATGGTTGTTTAATATGTATTTCTATATAAATATACTTATATATGTACTGTATTTTTATTCTATCCGTTACCCGAGTATCCCCATAACACAAGCCTTACAGTGCTTACTTTTGGCTAATTAGTGTGACTGTTGGAAATATTTATTATTATTATAAGTATAGGTGGATGATTGGTTAAAATAGCTAGCAGAATCCATTGCATATTTTAAACTTATATTTGTGACTGATTATAATTCTCGTTGTGACTAGCGTTTACCTTAAGTCGTTAATCATTAGCATAAGCTAATATTTTTGTTAGTTAGGTAAATTCTTTTTAAATTACATCTACAGTCAGTATACAACATAATAACTATTTTTTTTAAATAACTTTTTCATTATTTATTTGATAAACATAATTCCAATGGAAATTAATTAAATCCTAAAGAAATAAAAAAATGGTGTACGCAGTTCATGTAGTAATTTGTGCTTTAGAACTATTCATTTAATATTCAGTAAGAAAATATATTTAAGCATAGACTACTAAATGACAATTTAAAGAACAATTATGGTAAAGTGAAACTTGTATCATGTAAAAATTGATGCAACAGAAGTCTGAAGAACTCACGGGATGGTTTTTGTCTGCGGCCACCGCGGCTGTGAGAGAACGCCCAACAACATGGTTAAAAAAGTCAAAATATCTTTACTCAAATTGGAATCATAATACAACTCTTTTGAAACGTCCATATTTTTTGCCTACCACCAGTTAAGGACAATTATAGCTGTGGAGAAAAACTGGCGAAAATAGCGTCACATCGTTAAATAATTATGTAACAATATTTACAAAATATTATATTATTACGATATCAATACAAAATCATATCATCTTTATCATAATTATAGAAACAGCCTGTCGAACGTTTACAACAGTAGTAGAACCCAAGCATTTTTGTCTGAAATATGCTAACACACACCCTATAATGCTTTATTAATAACAAAATTTTCAATACTAGCAATGGTGTGGGTAAATCGGTTTGTTTCCGTTGCGAAACAAGTGACTGAAATTATTACGATTTATTTACGCGCGCCGGCCGCAGCGTTCGCCCGCTATACAACTGTACCCTTAGTACGAGTTTTACGATTATGAAAACTATTTAAATTTATTTTAAGTTTTCGTGAGCTCGCACTCGATTTTATAGTTTTCATTTCAATACAAATAAACAGTGTTTAAATTCTATCATTAAATCATTTGCGTCTTCTTAAATTTAAGTAAGTATATTTGGTTAGTTTTCACCAAAATGGACATAGAAACATAATTCACAATTACGAAAACTATGATAGTTTTCGTGAGCTTAAACTTGTACTAAGGGTACTGCACAGCGTGCGGGCGAAATCC